CTGCAGACTCAAAGGAAGTGAGAATAGCAAAAACACTGGTAAGTTTTCATAGGTTTCATAATCATATATTGTGAAAACTACAAGGAATTTTAGAGTACAAAAGTCATTCTATACAGGAAAAGACTGAGGGTCACACAGCTATATCCACTTGAACTCAATTCAGATCAGCCTTAACTTTGCTATACAGCTTCTGACATAAAATTACATGAAATCTAAAGAGACCATAATGCTTACTAGAATTTGGTTATTGATATCCCAAATGTATCTCTCTGGTTAAAACTAGAGGAAAAAACCTTAGGGGGGAAAAAACTAACACATACACACAAGGGTTTTGCCTCTAGCTGGAGAACTCTCAAGTGGACCTTGGCATATGCTCAGTCCAACTTCACTATTATATAATTATGAAATTGAGGCCCAGAAAGGGAGTGACTTTCTTTTTTTGGTAGGGTTGGGGGACAAATATTTTGCTCTTGTCACCCAGGCTGGAGTGTAATGGTGGGATCTTGGCTCACTGCAACCTCTGCCTCCTGGGTTCAAGCAATTCTCCTGCCTCAGCCTCCCAGGTAGCTGGGATTAGAGATGCCTGCCACTATGCCCCGCTAATTTATTTATTTATTTATTTTTTTGAGACGGAGTTTCACTCATGTTACCCAGGCTGGAGTGCAATGGCGCGATCTCAGCTCACCGCAACCTCCGCCTCCTGGGTTCAGGCAATTCTCCTGCCTCAGCCTCCTGAGTAGCTGGGATTACAGGCACGCACCACCATGCCCAGCTAATTTTTTTTGTATTTTTAGTAGAGACGGGGTTTCACCACGTAGACCAGGGTGGTCTTGATCTCTTGACCTCGTGATCCACCCGCCTCGGCCTCCCAAAGTGCTGGGATTACAGGCTTGAGCCACCGCGCCCGGCCCGCTAATTTATTTTTAGTAGAGACAAGGTTTCACCATATTGGTCAGGCTGGTCTTGAACTCCTGACCTCAGGTGATTCACTCACCTTGGCCTCCTAATGTGCTGGGATTACAGGCGTGAGCCACCGCACCTGGCTAGGGGAGTGACCTTTTAGGAATAAGTTACTTATTCTGTTTCAGTTCAGTACAGAATCCCAGGTTGGTAGCTCCCAATTAAGATAGATCATTTTTTACATGAACGTCACCCCTCTTCAGACTCATCTCTTTCTTTAGTGCTCCCTATCTTTGAGAATCCAGGTCTCTTCTATTACTCAGAACACACTACCCGTATCTCTCCTTCCATGCACACTGCACAGTGTTCCACCTCAGGCTCTAATCTCCTCCCTAAGCCTTCATTCCCATACTCTAACCAAACACACACATCTTTTACCTTCGTTCTGAGTCCAATTCTTTTTCTTTATATTTTGAGACAAGGTCTTGCTATGTGCTCAGTCTGGTCTTGAACTCCTGAGCTCAGGCCTTTCTCCTGAGTAGCTGGGACTACTGGCTTATGCCACAATGCCAGGTGGAGTACTAATTCTCTTCAACAGTTTAAATTACCAGCCAAGATACTAACGATTAATAATAGTATAATTTAGCATTTCCTTGCTTATATTTCTATAAGCTTATTAGAAAAGGCATGATCTCAACCCAAAAGGGCATACTTTTTGAATAAGGAATAACTGTACATGACACATTCAAACTTTTTTTTTCTTTTAAGAGTCTCACTCTGTAGCCCAGGATGGAGTGTACTCGTGCGATCTTGGCTACCTGCAATCTCCACCTCCCAGGTTCAAGCGATTCTCCTGCCTCACCCTCCCTAGTAGCTGGGATTACAGTCACATGCCAGGTGTATTCCAACATGCCCGGCTAATTACTTTGTATTTTTGCTAGAGACAGGGTTTCACCATGTTGGCAAGCTGGTCTCGAACTCCTGTGTTCGGACTGCAGGCATGAGCCACCACATCCGGTCCAGATGTTACTTTTTGAAAAATAAAAAACCATTTTTAATCACAAAAATTATAAATAAGACAGCTCAAAAGGATTTTTTTGAGGTGACATAATTATTTTGTATCTCGATTATGGTGGTGGTTATATGATCCTATGCCTTTGTCAAAACTCATACATTGTATACCAAAAAGAATGAATCTTACTGTATGTAAATTTAAAAATTAACAAGACTTTTTTTTTTTTTTTTTTTTTTTTTTATA